TCCAATCTTTTCCAGCTGCGCACTAGCTGCTAATTCGACAACCGGCAGGAATTCTGTTTTCTTGTTTTTCACAGCTTTCTGGGATTCTTTCCATTGCTCGAGGGGTTGCTGTTGCTGCACCCTCTGATGTCTGTACTGACGCTGGCAGTGTCGATGCTATAGTGTATCCGCCATATCGGATGCCGCGGGGGTGGTGGGTGCCGGTATGGCGTACGTGTACGCGCTTACTCCGCATGCATCGTATAACGTCACGTTATTATTTCATACAAAACACTCTAGCTTGGGGCGGAACGATCGCGCGGCTGCTACCTCTAATAATAAATGGAAGTCCATTATTTGCGGTTATTGAAAACCGCCGGGAGTCCCACGCATCCGCAATGTTTTGACAGTGCAGATGCAAAGCGTCGGGACGCCCGCCGTACGGTACGAATTTTCAGTACGAATTTTGCGAGCGTCACAAATCGGATGCTCTCTTTTACCTCGAAAGCTCAAAAGTTCCATTACCTATCGGGGCGCTTTCGCAGTCTCAATTGATCCCGTTGGCTTACTTCCTGCAAGCGTTTCTGTTTTATATAAAGCAGTAAATAACATGGAAGAGCTGAGGCTACCGGCTCATTTTATTTCAGACTCTACCAGCTCCGAGCACTCGGACTCTCCTCTCCTCTCCTCTCCTCACTCCCACCCTCCGTTCTCCCTCTCCGGATTCTCTCTTCACCTTGACTAGCTTCACAACTACCACTATCGTCAGCAATACCACTGAGAGCAGAAGTACTCTGTCTCTCTCTCTCTTTCTCTCAACTCATCTCAAATACCTCCTCTCTCGTTCTCGCCGCGCTGCGGGAGAGGGGTGGGGGGAGAGGGGGGAACAATCAACACCCTCTTAGCGTCGATTCCCATTCAAGCAATGACGCTCCGAATCGTAGAATAAATCTGAACACAACCTTTGCGCACACTAGTCTCCCTTCCCCTCCGCCCCTCCGCCCACTCGAACATCGGTACCCCCTTCAAAAGCCACCCTTGCTCAGGGCGCCTTCATTCCAGCGCCAACACCAAAGTTACTACAATGATCCTCAAATTTTCCAAGGAAGGCCACTTCTTGACCACCTTCATCTCTCTGGCGGATCCAAAGAGGGAAGAAGGGCAAGAGAGAGAGAGAGAGAGATAGAGAGAGAGAGAAAGTGGTGTAGCCGAAAAGATGGAAAGGGGCGAAGACGCGGCAATTCCCAAGGAAAAGGCAAAACGATCACAGAGCTCCTCCTCTTTCAGAGCAATTCCGAACCCCAAGCAGCCTTCGAGTAGATCTCTTGGAACTATTCTACGACTTCGACTAGCTTCAGGATATTCCACTTTCCTTCACTCCTCCGTCCTCTCCTCCTCTCCTCCCCTCCTCCTCGTCCTCCCACCACCTCCACCTTTTTATTCCTTTCGTTATTCTTGTTCCTCGCGTAACCTATATCAGTCGCCCAACCACATTTCATTTTACACCATTTCAAGAGCAGCAGTAGCTCACCCGTGAAACTCGCCACCTGCTACCGAAGTCACATAATTGACCGAGGATAGGCTCCTGCCTACCCTTCTGGACAGATTGCAGGGTCTGACGGATCAACCGAAAGGGGGGTCTCACCGAAGGGCACGTCGGAGCGGACCCAATTGGGGAGAAAGCCGAACCGCCGAGCGAACGGAGCCAGGAACCGGAGAGATATTTTAGATCGTGATTTCTCGAATGGCCCGTTTTATTTGACGAGAACAAAGGATAAAGTTTTGTCAATTTCCTGCCGATTTCCTAATAGCCGCGAGCCGGCGAGGGTGGGTTCGGGATCGGGGCTCGCGGGAACGGGCGGGAATGACGAGAGGCTCGGACTAATTCGTAGGAATGGGCCACCGTGTGTGCCCACCGGAACCTCCGACCGCCAGGGATAGACCATCAAACCGATTGTAATCAGCCCACCCTCCGCTTGCACCCTCAACACTCAAAGAGAGTGAGGAGGACCAGGCAGCAGCACTGGTCAGGGGTGGGACGGAGGTAGACAGACAGAGAGAGAGAGAGAGAGAGAGAGAGAGAGAGAGAGAGAGAGAGAGAGAGAGAGAGAGAGAAGAACCAACTACATTACACTATAGTCCACATGTATACATATACATGCGTATAACCTAAGTGAACTAACTCGTCCACTACTCGAGAAAAGATTCTGTCGCTAACTGGTTTTTCGTGCAGGGCCGCCTTGATCCCCATCATCGGCGTCTCCGCCTCCATCGCCACTGCCCTGCTGGCTTCTCGTTTGACCGTCTCATTCCTCATACACGGAGGATGTGGTAGTCGAAAGGTGCTGATGAACTTGCGGAGCTAGAGGAGTATTACGGTAAAACGAGATACAGTCAGAGTTATAAGTCACCCTGTACCCTCGACTTGTACGCTTGAAGTCTCAAGAAGAAGCTGTAGGGGGATGAAGACTTCCGAAAACTATATAATTCGCTGGTGGCTCAAGAAGAAATCAGCTGCAGGCACACGTAGATATTTAGGTGCAGACATGACACGAGGATGATAGAGCAGGGTGGAACGTAAATTAGGTATTTAGAGCGACTCACGTGATCCGGCCGGAAAGACGCGTGAAAACATTTTGGCGTAAGCTGTCGCGCTTCTTGTCACGGCGTCGACTGTAGTTGCTACTTATCCATCCCAAAATGGCTGTCGCGTCTCTCACGTGGGCGAAAGAATAGCATGAAGCAATTTGTTAGAAAGGGCTCGTCGGGCTGTCTACACAATAGTTTTCCGGGTTGAATATTAATCTTCTTCCCTGGCGGGAGGAATCGCGCCAGCGACGTCGGTCTTTGTTGTCGTCTCTGCTAACCCGGAAATTTTTGATCGAATTTACAAAATCTACCGTCGCGACGACCGCGACAATAATCGGTCTCCTCCTGCCACCCCTCATTACCTATATCTTAATGTATCCATACGCACCACGTGTACGGACACCGTAGTATACCAAACTATAGTAAAGACACCGGAAACGGGTGGCATTGTCAGGAATGCCTGATGATGAATTCTATGAAATCCCACTTCCTGTCCCAGGTCGGTCGTCGTCCGACATCACCTCAGGACAAAGTAATTTAGATCGTGACGTCCTGGTCGATCGTCTTCGTCATCGCAACCATCACCGTATTCTTTTATAAACAATTTCGGAAGACCTAATTACTCTTGATGGTGGCAGTTTCGTTTAATTTCGACACCGGGTATATTAGAATGCCGACGCAAGTCCTCGGCCTTTATACTTTCGCGGGCCTTTATGCGAAACTAAAGACAAACAAAGCCGTGAATAAATATGGGGTGCGTAGAGCGTTACGTAAGGTAGCTCAACGTGCTCCGACGATGCTAAATTAACGGTTGCAATTTTAATAGGGCCGTTGAAAGCGAGGGTCGTATACGGGCCTGTGATTTTACGCTTCCCGGCCAGCACAGCAGTGCTGGTGCTCTGTCCCCTTTCACCTCCTATACTTTCTCGCAACCCTCCTTTCCCATCCGGTATACTCCGCACCAGTACCTCTCCTCTCCTCTCCTCTTCTGTCTCCCTCCCTCTCTCTCACTCTCTCTCTCTCTCTTCTAGCTCCACCACTTCTCTACACCTTCTCGATCGACATGCCAGTTCGACGGGACTCTTACTCTCCTCTTTTACTTTTCTCTTCCCTCCCCCCCCCCCC